GCAGGTTTGAATCGGTAACAATCGGCAAAAATTGATCAAACGGGCTATTTTGAGTTAAATATGCAATCACTGACCTGCTGTACCATTTCAGCTTTCTAATGATATTTATTTTAGTGAAGTAGGATAGGTATAAATGCAGTCTAGTTCACACTATCGTCAGGGACATTGACACATACACAACCTTTCTTCACGATGCCGCATTGGCAACTGGAGCTGAGAAAAGATGTGAGTGAGAACCGCGTCAGCATGGCTGAGAATTTCGACCAGTAAGAAAACGATCGGTATTTTCTTTTATCGATGGAGGACTGAGAAATTCTCAACTCGACATGTTAATATTACAGGAAAACTATTTAGGAAATCAGGTCATTCAGACTATTTTTTAATATATAGAGGTAATTAAGGAAGTACCGTTGTTTTATTGAGAACTTTTCAACTTTTAGGCTCATTAGTTGAGGTCATTGTTGTCAAATTATTGGAATAAATTGAAAAATTATTCGATTTACGTACAAAAATTAAAAAATAAAGGTTTAAAACTGCCTGATTGAGAGCAGCGAGAGTTTACGTCGCAATTAGTTAATGCATCTAAAACATGCAATTACCTTGAAATATTTCTGATCCGTTATGTATACCATGATTATGATAAGACATTAAATTATTGCACTTAGCAGTCTAGGTACAAGAAAATTAATTTCTTCTGCAACTGATAATTATTATTTACATATTTAAATGTTATACAAATTAATGCTGTTTTACCGAGAAATTTTGTCACTAAATCTTGTAACGTCGATAAAACTCGTAATCAAATTATTAATTTTTACAAAACACCACGTTATGACCCAAAAAAATACAAGATTTTTTACCTGAATTTTATTCAATTTGCGGAAAAAAAATTCAATGAGAGCAAATAAAAAAATATGCTACTAAATTAAAAAAAGTTTCTAGTCGAATAATCTAACGAAAAACGTTCATTTACGGCCATATGCAACGAAGGATACGGAATGAATTAGATACTCTTTATTTTTTAAGAGGAAAAATTGAATTATTCAACTTCTCTAAGCAAATATAATGTTTAAACAGATAAAACTTTTATTCTACTTGATTAACATAAGCTTAATTTCTTTAAAGTTCTATTAATTATTTAGAAAAATTTTAAATTTTCCATATATACTGGCTACTAGTTTTTCTTTCTACAATTCGAAATATACTCACTTTCGCCATCCGCTTTTTGAATTTTCTGACGATTCTCATGACTTGCTATAAAGTCGCAAGGCAGCATGTAAGGAAACGGTAAAATATAAAGCAGATATAAAATAAAAATCAACAAACGGTTTCGACCAACAGGAATTTCCGAATTAGACATTTTATCTTCAAGATAGTTAATATAAATTCTTATATTAATTATTATCGAACATTAATTGAGATTAATGCTCGATAGGAACTGTTTAATTTGTGAACGAAGGCGCTAGATTGCAGAGTCACCATAAAAAAATTATTCCAAGCTCAATGACAGTGATGACAAAATTATTCCGAAATTAATTATTCAAATTAAAAATTAAAAGGCAGAGAAAAAGAGAGTTAACTTTTGCTCGACCAAGCAGGAAAATTTCACCGAAATAAACGAGTAAAAATGTCCACGAACACAAGGATACCAATTAGGAAATTAGACGCATATCCAAAGAAAAATAAATACACTTAACTGGATTTAAAACTAATGGAAGTGATAGGTCGCGTGGATATTGACAGCGAATACTGAATTTCAAGACCATATGAATGTAATACGAAAAATGAAGTCGAGAATTTTCTTTAGCAAATAGAATTTAGAAGAATTATTTTTAGATTTGCAGGCGACTATTAGAAAAGTACACCCAACTAAAACTATAACAAATAATTAAACCATAAAAAATTAATCCCTATGGCGCAGCGCACTTGTAATATTAATTAATAAAAGAATTGAGTCGACACATAAAATTTTCTCACATTGAAATTCGCACTATGAATGTTTGGCGGGAAATTTTAGTGATAATTTATAATCACATGCCATTTAATGTATTAATCAATAATCATGGCGCAATTACTCATATTTTTACCGCGTAAAATGAAGCCTGCATTATTATTATTCTTAGCATTCGAAGGTCACCGAAGCGACATAATTAATAGGCTTGGAATATAAGAATACCTACGAAAACAAAAGATTTCCAGAGACACTAGCGCGTGATCAGCAGCAGTAACAGCGCCGGAGACAAACGTTTGCCGGCAGTGTTTCTGCCGCTGTTGATTTTAGTAGCGTTGTTATTGTTGTTGTTATAGCCGTTATTATTGGTAGTAGGGACGTTATTATATCAGGGAGTTATATCAGAGGAATAGCCTAAAACGCTGGTACTAGGTTGGATGTATGGAAGCTTGACACGCCATGTGGTGTGTAGTTTTATTCGGTAATTTGATGTGTTATCGAGTGTAGTGGAGTGGTGTGTAATATATACTTGCATAGTGGATGAATTTACGAAGTGTTGTGTAGAGAATGAGTGCTTGCAATTCATCGCAAAAAATTGTGCAGTAGTTTGATGTGTGGAGTATTTTCCGATGAGTACAGAGCGTACAATAGATGTTTATTATGAATCGTCGGCATTTTCTGACCACGCATTCAACATGATTCGATTCACAAGTTCAATTTCCAGCAATAATTTTGAAAAAAACGGCTTGAATGTCATGATACACATAGCGTTTTCAAATTGATTCCTCTTAAGAAATATCTAGTAAGATATCTTCAAAAATTTACTATTCAACGCTACCGGATTCTACGTCATGTGAATAAAAAATTTTACTCCTAAAATTCTCTATGAAATACAAATCTTTCATGAGCGACTCAGAATTAAGGGTTAGATTAAAGGTTCATGCATTAATACAGATTTAAAGATTGTGAAGAGCAGCAGCGAGGGTTAACAGACGTTCGCATACATCTGCGGCAGGCTGTCTGAATCGATGAACTCGCGTGCAGCTGCGGAAGTCTTTGCTTCTGCAGCTCTATTGTGCAATTAGAGGCTTGCAGATGTGAAGCTGATTACAATTGAGGCTTGCAGATGTGAAGCTAATTACAATTGAGGCTTGCAGATGTGAAGCTAATCACAATTGAGGCTTGCATATGTGAAGCCAATTACAATTGAGGCTTGCAGATGTGAAGCTGATTACAATTGAGGCTTGCAGATGTGAAGCCAATTACAATTGAGGCTTGCAGATGTGAAGCTAATTACAATTGAGGCTTGCAGATGTGAAGCTAATTACAATTGAGGCTTGCAGATGTGAAGCTAATTACAATTGAGGCTTGCAGATGTGAAGCCAATTACAACAATTACAATTGAGGCTTGCAGATGTGAAGCCAATTACAATTGAAGCTTGCAGATGTTAAGCTAATTACAATTGAAGCTTGCAGATGTGAAGCCAATTACAATTGAGGCTTGCAGATGTGATGGCAATTACAAATGAACTTGCAGATGTGATGCCAATTAAAATTACGGTTTAGACCGCGTGATATCAGAAAAAACTCCAACGAAGGAAGTTGACAGATATTTTAATAATAATATCCTGGCTGTAGGAGTGTTTATGAGAACTTAGACTAGTGATAGACAATACGTAGCAGCAGTTAGACACGTTGCAATAGTGAAAAGTTTATTAGAATCAAACCGAACTTAAGTTTAACTCGTCGGGCAACCTTTCAAAATTTGTTATAAAACTCAGAAAATTTGGTAAAATCAAGATTGTTCGGTCACGAAAACTGACGATTTTCATGAAAGAAAAAAAGTAATTGAAATACAAGAGCACGAACAGCTAAATCAAAGAAATGTTTGATGGTAAGATAGCGAATGATAGCTTGCAAAGTTCATTTTACGTTACGAATACAAAACTAGGAACAATGGTGACTAAGAACCGAAACGAAAAAATTTACTTGAAAAACAATGTAGTTGTTACGCTGTGGTAGTCTATAAATAAATCTGATTAAATTCGTTGAAGAAACTTACATAGACGAGCAATTCTCAAGGAATTGTATAATATTACAAACACTCAACGCTTAAAAAGTTGAGCATTTTTAAACGGCCGCGTAAATTTATTTTCACGAACACGAAAAGCGAGTCACGAACACGAAAAGCGAGTCACGAACACGAAAAGCGAGTCACGAGCACGAAAAGTGAGTCACGAGCACGAAAAGCGAATCGCGAACATGAAAAGTGGGTCACGAACACGAAAAGCGAGTCACGAACACCAAAAGCGAGTCACAAACACGAAAAGCGATTCACGAACACGAAAAGCGAGTCACGAACGCGAAAAGCGAGATGTCGAGAACGGCAATGTATAAGAAAAAATATTCACTCGGAAGAAAAATGTCACTCAAACAAAGACAATAAAAAACGAAAAGTAAAAACGGCAATTAAAGCGAATAAAATGAAATTAGGTAACAAATTTCACGCACACGATGTCGAAACGTTTAAAACGGCAATGCAAAAAATATATATATGGATATAAAAAGCAAATGGTAAGAATGTCACGCTCACGAAAATAATTGTACAAAAAAACAGGAAAACGGTAATAAACAAAAAAAAAGAAAAACGGTAAGGTACAAAAAATATAACTCAGTACTCAATGCAGTAAGTGACAGAGAGCGCATTTTCTCGTCTACGAAAACATGAAGTCACGGACGGACGGACAGACGGACATGGCGAGCACAATAGTGCATTTTTTCCATAAATGAGAAAATGCGCTAAAAACGGGAAAACGGTGGGTTACAAAAAAAAGGGAAAACGGTAAATTACAAAAAAAAAACTGGAAAACGGTAAGTTACAAAAAACGGGAAAACGGTACGTTACAAAAAAAAAACGGGAAAACGGTAAGTTACAAAAAAACGGGAAAACGGTAACGTACACAAAATCGGAACAATAAAAAGGGTAACGCACACGACGACGAGAATTTCTGAACATTGGCGCACACACTACAAAGTCCTTCGACTTTACCTTCGGTTTTTCGAACTTGGTTTTCATTTTTGCGGAGTCGAAAGACCGCACGCGAGGGCCCACGTGTTTAGCGAGGATGTCGTCGCGCTGTGCGGGGAATTATCAATTATTTATTGTTATTTTCTTTATTTTATTAATATTATTTATTAATAATATTAAACAATTACCAATATCAATTTATTAATACTGATAATTAATTAATAATATTGATAAATAATTATTAATATTACTAATGATATATTAATAATTATATAATAATATTAATTAGTTAGTATTACTAATTGATAATATTAATAAATAATTATTAATATAAATAATAATTATTTATTATTGTTTTTATTTTTACTCTAAATTATTAATTTGATGGAGGATAAGTTATGGGAGGTTTGGAACGGATCAATGATGGTGGTGGAGGGAAGAGGAATGCTGAAAAAAGGAGGGATAATTTTTGGATGGAATTGTTGTTGATATTAAATGGAACACATTTTTTAGGCAGATGGGTGGATACCATGGAAAATGTGATTATATTTCGAATTTGTTAAGGAAATTATTGATGGGAGGGGAAATAGAGGAATGCTATGAAATGGAGCTCTATTTTTGAAGGAAATTAGGGAATGCGTTGAAATTGGAAATCCTTTTTTAGAAAATAGGTTAGAGTCGTGAAAGGGATCATTGTTGGAATTGTGGATGTGATTTTAAATTTAGTATGAATAACTGGTTACGGAGAGTCGACTTATGGTGTAGGGTATGATTATATTAAAAAATTTGAAAATATTTCGAGACTTAACTAATTTGGTGTTTTTGGGACATTGCGATTAATAAAGTCGGAAAAAAACTACGCAAGAGAATATGAAAAAATTAGAAACTTCGCAAGAGAAATTACAGGATGCGTTGAAAATTGAGGGTTGAATGACAATAATAATCACAATAAACTTTAAAGGAATTTAGCGGCACTGAAAAAGGTGAAGAAACTTGGTATTGTGATAGATTAAGGGGCACGATAAAAATTATTTTTAGGTGATATATGGGATAGTGTTGATATTCAAGGCTTGACGATATTAGAGAATATACTATATATAACTAGCCTTAGGTTATGTAGTCTAGTATGGAATGATATAGAAATTTCTAAATAAAATGAATATATTTATTCAAGTTTGAATATGGCTGAAATATATAACCTGAATAGAATACATAGTTTTGAATCCAAAGAATGAAACTGGAATGGGGGCAAATAAGGACATTTTTAAGAAACGAAGATTAGTATTTCAATATTGATGTCGAAATTTAAAAATTTAACATGCAAAAACAATTTTACACGACGAAAGAAAAATTAAACATGAGATTTTTTCCTAGATTCGGTGCAAAGATCAAGAATTACATCAAGCTTATGCTAAAAGCCAACCATGCACATTTTTAATCATAAAAATTTATGCAACCAGAGCTATCATACAAAATGCTGATTCAAGTTGTTGTCACTACGAGTGAAACGATCTGGTGAATGAGATTGAAGGTAACAAGAGATTGGTAATATCTACATTTTAGAGTAAAAAATTAAAAGGTAAATATACGTGGGGCAATTTTACATGGGAATCGCTAAAATAAATTTACATTTTATTTTATAATAAATAATATTTAAAATACCCACATTCAAATGATACGCGATGTCAACTAAAGCTGTGTGTGAGACCACAGCTATAGCCAGGCCTTATACAATATATCTATAACGGAGTTACAATACAATAATATATACAATAATATACCTATAACTGAGCAATATATATACTTTATGTACAGAAATACCTGCACCATAATTCATCCAAACAATAAAATTCGATGGATAAAAAACATCTGTCAGATCCATCATCATTTCATATGCAGAATATACATTGTAAATAATTGGTAGAAATTAACTTCTGGGACATCGCCTGAAATGTAAAAAAAAAGAACTTGTTATTTACAGTAAAAGGAAGGCATTTTCTCGTCATCACATAACCGTATCAGTGACGCAGCTGATGGAAATTAAGAAGAACATTTTTAATGTAGATTGAATAATAAATCGTGGAGTTTTTTTATTAAACATATTATTTGGTGATTTTTATAGATTAAATTATGTTGGTGATTATGGCAATTATGCACTGATTGCCTTTGCATCAGAGCCGCTCCGTGTAAACTGCACCTGCAAAATAGAGCGAAATCAAACATGAAATGATTCAAAGATAAGTGATAAATTAAAGATTGTAATGATGTGAAGAATAATTTTACGTTGATATTGAAGACGATCAAAACTATGCGAGTCCAACTCAAATGACTTTATCATTAATAAATTATAGAGAAATGAAGGCCAGTATAAATGTAAAAAAATAATTAGACAAATAAATTGGTATCCAAAAATTTTTTCAATAAACCCTATATTTTGATTTCGATGTATTTTATTCATACAACTGTTTTAAATTATTTAATATTCACAGCTTGAGCTAGGCTTTAATTAGGATTATTTATATTTACAGACAGAAGTTTTTTTATATTATGTCCTGGAAAATCGCGTGTATCAGCTCGCTAAGAAAGATTCCGTAACAGAAGAATAATAATTGTTCGTTAACACAACGGAAGAATAATAAAAATGTATCAGCTTTTGAGGCGGTAATCTCGTAAAATACAAAGCGTGTACAAGAGGGTATGTTATGTAATGTAAAATTTGAAAATTTAGATTGAATTATTGCGTTTATTTATGAAATTAATCGTGAAATTGGATCTATCTTTCACGAATCAACAATTTACGATTTACAAATGACAATATAAGAAAGATTTTGAAAACTAATTTAAACAATCACGGTTAATCAAATGTAGTTGTAGAATAATAATTGTATATTGCTAAGAATATTTTGTGACTTGAGGGCGATTCAGAGAATATACAGACGCAAAAATATAAGATATCACAAATTTACACGCGTATTATTCAGCAAGATTGTTTTATTAGTGCAAAAACAGCTGTAAACTTGTTAAAAAATTGTAACTAGTTTAAAAAATGTACAGTTTCTTAGGTTATTTTTATTCTTTACGAGTTTAACAGCAACATATAGACTGGATTATTCAAATATTTTATCAAAGTGGAAAAAAACGGAATTGTGATGTAAAAAACTGTAATCACAAAACAGTTTTTGAACTTATTTGATTTTGAACGAATTTGCTATTTCACAAAAGCAAAAATATGTCCTGGAACAGGAAAAGTGGACGAAAGAAACAGGAACAGGAAAAGTGGACATTTCATCCAAGTGGACAAAAACGGAATTGTGGATGCAGAAAAAACGGAAACAGAAAACGGACTCACCAGCCGCCTAACAGAAACCCCGGATCTGATAGGAGGCTTGACCGGAGAGGAGGAGGGGGGTGGGCAAGAAAGAGGGGGACTGAAGATTGCACGCTGGTCGGGGAAGAAGAAATGTGATCAAATTGTAGCCATATTAGGTAGGAATAGTATTATGATGAGTGAAGAAATGATTGTCGGAATTGGATGGGAAAGTTTTACACACTCGCGCGGATTGAAATTCAATGCAAATTAAAAAGGTAAATTTTAAATAATTAATAGATCGGACAATTGATTTTAATCGGGCGATTATTAGATTGTTAATTGTGTAAGATTGGAGTGATATTCTGAGGTCGAATTTTTTTAATGATTCTAGAAGGTTACATAGGGTTAAATGATTTGGTTAGGTTAAAATAAATGAAATTGAAAATAATACAAAGGATGAGTCATCTCAGAATGAAGTTTCGAAGTTTTAGATACCGAAGCTCGAGGGAACTGTGCGTAAAAATAATAAAAATAAAAAACTGAAAACTGATGTAGTGGGATGGCGAATGATAGGTTATTATTATTATTATTTTGCAGATGGCATTATGATTATTCTGCTGAGAGGTAAATTAAAAAAAGAATAGAAGGCAAAAAATAAAATAATCTAGTTATTTGTTAAATCATAAAACACTCGCAGTGCTGGGAGAAGGCAATTGTTATCACATATATGAAGAAATGTAACAGAAATTGTTATTTTTCACACAGCAAAACTGGCTCACGGCGATTCGTTCCGTCATTTCTTGCAGCCTGCTCCTGAAATTATCAGTATTTAGGTATAATTTTTTCTGAACTATTTACTTAAGCAATATAATTCTTACAAAATATAACAGTATATAACGCCTCCCAGTTTATAGCGGATTAATGTCACCAATGGATGCGTGAACGTGAATGTTATTGCATCGAGGCAAAGTATGTAAACTCCGGTATTAAACGAGGAATAAATTAAAAATGCCTATTAAGTAAATATAAAATTTTTTAATGTAATTTGTTAAATAAGAAAGAATAAGTAAGTAAGAAACTTTTTAAACGAATTTGTTGGCACTCGATTCGTGTTTAAATTACGTAGACAAAAACCATGATATGCATTCTTAAATAATTAAACCTAAATTAGCCTCACATACACACAAATATCTGAAATTCAACTTTTCCAATAACTACGAATTGAAGTAACTTCGAAAAAAGTGGTCCATCACATTTAATAAATGAAAATAGTATTCCCTCAAACATTGGAAAATGAATGGAAACTTAAAGTTAATATATTATTCATTTTATAATTTTTTATTCTAAGACATAATAATAATTTAAGAAATTATTGAATTAATTAAGTAATGAAAACAACTTTTCTGAGCAAGAAATCGAACAGGTCAGTACCATACAGCTGACTTTTGCAGAACGTTAATACTAATAATTGAAAGTTCCAAATTAGCTTAGAACGAAAGGAATCAGTAAAACCGAATTATTTTCTTATCAAAAACAATATTTCAAACTGTTGTTTTATTTCGTAGCACATCATTGATCGCGAATGTGATCATTTATTCAAAACAAAAATACTTCGCTTGAGTGTATAATAAATTTGTTTTGATAAAAACAATAAACTGAATGTAATAACGGGAAGAATAATTAAATTATTAAAGTTATATATAACCTAATATGCGTTAAGAATCAATCAATAATGTTGAAAATCGAGATTATTAATGTAGAAAAAATTATCGCTAGATTTATGTTTATCATTATATATATTATATATCATTTATAAATTTAATAAATATATGTAATAAAATATATTATTTAAATTATTTCACTATTAACAACGTACCAGCCTCGGTACGGAAACTCCGGTTTTGACTCGGCGGTTCGAAGCTTCAATAAACTCCTTAGGTTCTCGGTTTTTGGTCCGCTTTCTACGCCGGATACCGGTCCGGTTGGTTCGTACGGGATCCTTCGAAACGTATCCGGATGAACTGCTTCCGTACGAACCCGAAGAAAACCCACAATTTTTACCGGACGGAATTTCTTTCACGTATTCATCCGGGGAATCCAGATTGCGGATATCGTTAGAAACCACGGACGGCGGGCCGCTGCGGAGGCTCTGCAAAGAGCCGAGTCCGGCTCCTCCTTTCAGGGAGTCGGTGAGAATTGTGCCTAAGCTTATGGGTTCTGAAATCGTCACTTCGACCATAATTGGATTTTTATTATCAAAATTAATCTATTTAGTTAATAAAATTTTACCAACAGTAAAAATCGAGTTTGTTGCTTGACACGCGGGCATTCTTTTATTCTCAATACAAAAAATTATCACAATAAATAGAGAAAAAGTTTTAATTTACAGACGGAAATGAGAAACAATACATGAACAATTAAATATCAACAGATTTTTTATGTTATTTTAAAATGAAGAATTATTTTTTAAGCTAGATGGCCCAAGATTCTCTATTTGGGTGTGATGTGATGTTTAGCTTATGTGAACAGATCTATAACTTTTAAACGTATTATAAATGCAGCTCACTTAAAAGTCCTCCATCGACATTAAAAATTGAATAATTTTCTATCAGGAATTTTCACAGAGGATTTCACGGTTTCCTGAAATTAAATATTACATCAATAATTGATTTGATAATTTCAAACACATTCAGCGCATCAATAGTGTTGAACGCATAATAAATATAATTAGGTTAATTAAATATAATTATATACTTAATTATGGGACGTATAATATGTGGTGACCCAAATAAAGAACAATGCTAAAGCCCCCGCTCTTTACTGTTGATTGATTTTAATTCATGTTGATTGATTTTAATTGATTTTCATTCGCGTTCAATGCACCGAAAATTGCGGTTCATCGCCACAAAATTTCAAATATTTTGTGCCATCCAAAATAGATTACGGTCACCAAAAATATGAAATTCAACTGGAAAATTACCGATATAAATTCCAAATTAATGTATTTAAATTTCCTCAAAATACGTTGGTTCAAAGAATCACACACCGCGTAAGAAAATAATGCACTCGATTAATCGAAAATCTTGCATCACAAAATCTATAAACACCAAACTGAGTCGCAATAAATTAGAGAATGTAATAGGTATTTCGAGTGTTGAAAATAATTATTATTATCTAAATAAACCACTAAGAAAATCATAAACTCGATTAATCGAAAATCCTCGTCGCAAAATCAATAAACACCAAACCGAATCGCCGTAAATTTAAAAACGTTATAAGTATTTCGAGTGATCAATTTCGAGATATTAATTATTATTAATCTTTGAATAAAAAAGATTCGGGGGCACTTCTGTGTTACGGATAAGACCGACAAACGACGACTGAGACGCCAGCATTCAACGAGGTCACGTCTAAGGAACCGAACATCGCCAGCCTCTGCACGCCACGCGAGTCAAGGCCACGGAATCGAACGCCCAAATAAAATGTAGCGAAATTTGTTGTCTTTTGATAGGCGCCGTTGAAATGCAGGCTTCGCCTTTCTCTGATCGATAAACTCATGTTCTGAAAGCAGGCGTAAAAATTGGGGATTTCTTGACGAATGCCTTGTAGAAGAAGTTTTGATATAACGATATTTGCATGAATTCCGGATAGATAATTTGTAATTGAAAACGAATAATTTTTGAGTTATTAATCAAATAAATTTAAAAGTGGCACGATTAGGAAACATCGTAAGAAAGATCAGCCATAGGAAACATATCTTCATTTCTTATTAATCAATTGGATATTTTTGCAATTATATCCATCTTAAAACTTCGTTGCAAAAAAATTCTGCCGCAATTTAGTATTTTTCGATTCACTGAATCGAAAGTTAGTATACAATTACTAATTCATTAATGCTATATTTTCGAGCAATTTAAAAATTCTATATGGGGCTAAAATAGCGAAATTCTTAGATAGAAAAGCGAAGTTCGTGATTGGTTTTGAGTGCCATAAAATGCAATTATTTGATTATTCATGCACCAATAATTTCTCTAGATGAGTTAATTAACCAAAATATGAACATCAATTTTGTTCTAAAAAATTAACATTATGAATGACAAGAGAATTTTGTCCTATCTTATTTCCAAAACCAGGGCAACAATTGTCTAAGCATAATTGAAAAAATCGGCTGTTGTATACACCAAAGTCAAAGGAATCTGTATGAAAGTGAAGGAAACAAAACAGATTTGAAAGAATAGGCTGTTTTATATAATAAAGTCAAGGGAATCTGTGTGACATTAAAGGAAACAAAACAGAATTGAAAGAATCGGCTGTTTCATATACCAAAATCAAAAGAATCTGTGTGACATTGAATTAAGCAGAACAGAATTAAAGGAATCGGCTGTTTTATATGACAAAGTCAAGGGAATCTATGCGACATTGAAGGAAACAGGATAAATAAGGGACTGGTCTTTCCCTCATTCTATTAACCAGGAAAATAGGGCAACAGGAGTGAACAGAACAGAGGGAACAGCAGGCGATGTTGTGGCCGATGATGGCAGTTGTTCTCGCACGCAACCGTTCTGCTGCACGCCATCTACGAGGGATGTGATGTGAGGGATGTGGTGTGAGGGATGTGATGCGAGGGATGTGATATGAGAGATGTGATGCGAGGGATGTGATGTGAGGGATGTGATGCGAGAGATGTGATGTGAGGGATGTGATGTGAGGGATGTGATGTGAGGGATGTGATGCGAGGGATGTGATGTGAGGGATGTGATGCGAGGGATGTGATGTGAGGGATGTGATATGAGGGATGTGATGCGAGGGATGTGATGTGAGGGATGTGATGCGAGGGATGTGGTGCGAGGGATGTGATGCGAGGGATGTGATGTGGGGATGTGATGTGAGGGATGTGATAGAGGGATGTGATGCGAGGGATGTGATGCGAGGGATGTGATGCGAGGGATGTGATGCGAGGGATGTGATGCGAGGGATGTGATGCGAGGGATGTGATACGAGGGATGTGATGCGAGGGATGTGATGCGAGGGATGTGATGTGAGGGATGTGATACGAGGGATGTGATGTGAGGGATGTGATGCGATTGTAACAAACTACCGACCGGTGACGGAATAGCTTCTAACGTTGCCGACCATAGCCAAAAATTACAAACATTCCAGTTTAATTGTATAAATTATTTTATTAATTGTACAATTAATTCCAGCAGTAATTTGAAAATTGACTTAAAATTTCGCAAGTTAATATTCTGTTAGAGTTATTTAATATTGCCTATCCATCAGTCAGTTACATCCAAACAGGCAGTCACTGCATTGCAGTGCTGTGCCTCGTGATTGGCTGCCTCACTAGCATTGCCGCGCTATGATTGGCTGCCTCACTCGCATTGCCACGCTATGATTGGCTGCCTCACTTGCATTGCCACGTTATGATTGGCTGCCTCACTCGCATTGCCGCGCTATGATTGGCTGCCTCACTCGCATTGCCGCGCTATGATTGGCTGCCTCACTCGCAGCTGCAGTTTCAGTAAATAGGATAATAAAGTATGCAACAGTTAAATAGTACAACGGTTTCAATTCTAAATTTGATTGAAACATTTCCAAGCTAATTGTGTCTTTGAAACATAAAAATAGACAAAAACATTCTAGACAAATGCCAAATGTAATGTTTGATTATCATTCTGGGAGACATAAATAGTTTACTTCTTATTGAACAAACTAAATTCATTTGACCCTTTCATGCTTCGTGCAGCTCACTCACGTTACGACTAATACTAACGGGCCGTACTCTCAAAAAATAGTTTGAACTCGTAGTATAATAAAAAATATATAAAAAAATAATATAGCTTGTAACACCGTCAGTCCATCACTAACAGCTTTTCTAGCTGAACTCACTGATCATCAAATGAGAAATGGCCAGCTACATGTACTTTGAGCCTCTACCGTCTCACATGAGTAACAGGAGCAATATTGGCACAAGCCTTAGTAGTATATTAAATATTACTAATATAATATAATATTTGTAATAATAATAATAATATTAGTAACCGGAGCAATATTGTCACAAGCCTGCTTCCCAAAAAGGATACGTTCTAGTGAGCGCAAAATGACTTGCACTGATGGTTGCCGCCACGTACGACAACTTTAAAATGTTCTCTGTTGCGTACAAACGTCCTCAGGTTGCTACACTCAATAGTTCACGTATAATTTGCCGCCACGTACGACAACTTTAAAATGTTCTCTGTTGCGTACAAACGTCCTCAGGTTGCTACACTCAATAGTTTACGCATAATTCAAGTTGAAAGTTATGTTCCCGGAGAGTGACATACGATGGTAGATGGCAAAGTGGATTTTGAAAGTAAAACCACCGGTGTAGAACTGTCCTTGAAATTGTACTATAACTGACATATAATTTTTGTACAACAAATTTTACTACTACTGCCATCTAATTTTTTGTACCAATAATTGTACAACTACTTACATCAAAATATAAAATTACGTGAGTAGAACTGACCTTTAATTTATCGTAGAGCGATGCTTCGTTAGTAGACGTGTCAGTCAGCGCTGTGAGGTCACCGTAGCTTGCTCGCTTCAAGCCGTGCGTAGGAAACAGGCGGTTAGTAAGGCACATTTAATAATGTATAAGCAGCAAGCTTCGATATTCAGGCAATAATAACACTTTTACAAGTATCAGGCTGCTTAATTCCTTAATCGAAGGTATTCAAAATAGAAAGCAATGCTCATGTATAAATAAACTCTATGTTCCATTTTCATACAAGCAAGGTAATCATTTTAATTTTTTTGCGTTATTAAGCTGAAGCGTAATTCAATGTTCAGGTGCAAATAGAAAAAAGTTAGTTAAACAATGAATTTGCATATGGAAAAAAAAACACATGATAAAGTTTGTTAAGAATGACTTCTAAGCACTGAAATTCATGCAAACTGAACAACGTGCAAGGAAGTGCGTAAATGTGATATAATAAAATTAGAATATTTATTATTAGATAAGAATAAAATGGAGATTTTTGAAGAATTTTTACGATTAGACCAAAACTTAAACCACACTTCTGGGCTAAATTCTGGAGAAAATATTCTTTCAGGGGAGGGAAATTTTTCGCGATTTTGTAAAAGCTTCTAAAATTAGATTAATTGTATTTGAGCCTCAGAAGCTAAGGCAACAACTTCTCAAACCGGAATTCATAAACTTACCAAGCTTGAGGTGCAGTCAGAGATAAGTCAAGAATTCAAATTTTTTGCACCACGGAAATTGCCAAACCAAGATACAGTTGTGACTTTACATTAAAGATACCACAAATTAACCCAGTAACATAATTGTCAGCGTGAATCTACAGGTAAGTCAGCAAAAGTCTACTCAATGCTGGAGTCAAATGAATCATTTTGAGTCAATTTCAAGAGTCTGAAAATGTGAAAGAGTCGGAAGATATTCAAGAGACTGAAGATATTCAAGAGTCTGGAAATATTCAAGAGCATCTGAAGTTATTCAAGTTTATAGAAACAATCGGAGACGAAAGTAGAAGGTAAAGACTAAGCGGAACAGCTTACATGACATAAAATACCAGTAAAACCCATTAAACTCGACATGGGTAATTTTATGGACGTTGAAATCTGCGACCTAAAGTAGAAGTTCTCCAGGAATCTCCTGGAAGGATAGTCTGTTAGGTGAACGAAACTCCAAAAAGAGACCGAAACACCAAAAAGAGACCGAAACTCCAAAAAGAGACCGAAACTCCAAAAAGAGACCGAAACTCCGTTAGGTGACCGAAACGCCTGAAACAGACCGAAACTCTGTTAGGTGACCGAAACTCCAAAAAGAGACTGAAACTTCCAAAAGAGACCGAAACTTCAAAAAGAGACCAAAACTTCAAAAAGAGACCAAAACTCCGTCATGTGACTGAAAATCCAAGGAGACGAAAATAAATTAATATCGGTAGAGACCACAAAAGTCACCAGAAATCACCCAAAAGCCTCCAAGTAAAATATACCTATCAGAGTTACAAAAATTAACAATCTTTATCAAACGGTCACTAAAATTGCCTGAAATTATGCCATAATCACCCAAACGGCTACAAAAATCGCCCAAAGTTCGAATATATTGGAAGGGTTGCCGAAATTTCATCAAAACCCAAAATAAAAACAACCAGAGTCTCAAAACGTCCACCCAATGGCCATCAGAAGTTTAGAAATGCGTGTGCCTTGCGGAGTTTAGTGGGCACCAAAGTAACCTGAGAGCCCAAAAACGACCCAAATCGGCCTAAAAAATAACCAAATTGACCCAAAATCAATATCCGCCAGCATTGAGGTGTCTTACCAGCTGTCGTACGGAGATGAAGATGGTCGAAGAAGCGTCGTTTTCACGACCATACCATCCATTACGACACAAAATTTTGTTCAGTGAATCTCGTAACTCGTAAGTGCCCGAATTACCAGAATTCGACTCCGAGTCGTCGTCTTCAAAGTCGCTATGGTAGTCTTCGTAAGGTGAATTATGGCGACCAGTTGAGTCATTCATAAAATTTTCAAGATTTTTGGATTCATGAATACACTCTTCAATGAAAATACGATCGTCTGAATCTGAATTATGAACAGCTGAGTCGGGACTTCGATCCCTAGATTCATCTAGAGTAGTAATACCAAAGTCGGAGTTGTCGATGTGACTGGAAACGTTGAATTCGTCGAAAACTTGTCGTGTGATCGTCATATTACGGTTCCCATTAACATTCATCGTCGTGAAATCGTTGGTATCGCGGTTACCAATAACATTTATGGTCGTGCAATCGTTGGTACCGTTGTACGAGTTGTCATGGATCGTCAAAGTCTCGCAACTGGAGGTTTTAATATCATGTTGTCCTTGTACGGAAGTAGAATTAGAATTTATGCCAGGAATTTCTTGTAGAATCGTCTTGGTAGTCTGGTGAAGCTTAGGGAGGTCTGAATAGCTCCTGGTCTGAGATTGCCAATAGTCAACAGGATTAGTTTTAATAATCAACACACCAATTTAAGGTGGCAAGACAATTAGTTTAGATTTTACCACAATGCAACAAATAATAGCAGCACATCGAATGGCAGCTTAGTGTATAACGCTTACTGATTTCCCTCAGCAGTAATGGCTACTTAAATGCCGTGCAAAATAAATAATAAGCAAAAAAATATGGTTAATTTGCCACACAAAAGCCTAAGTTTTAACATCAATACAACGAATTAGTAACACACACAGCAATCTATAATATTGAACAAGGGGTTAATATTACAGAGCTTCAATTAACATTAATTTAATTCATGCTTCAACTCCAAAGCATTAACTAACAAACCTGAAATTTATCAAAGTAGGAAGGGCCGGTAAAGCACATTCCGTTGCTCATTTATACTAATTTTTACTTACGATGAACTGATAAATGAATGACATTTCTGCTAAACTTATTACGTATACCGACTTTTTACGTTGCGCGCGGTAAAGCTAATTTGTAGCTTCATATTTTTTCCTAATCATCGCTAACCTTTATTTTTCAACGACATACGGGAATTCTGGATTTAGGCATCAAAATTCGATTTCTTTCGTTTCATTAAAGAAACTGAAATTGGTACATTTTTGGGTGAAACCTTTTATCGGCCTTCAAAAATACTTAGGAAGATAATAGAAATAAAATATAAATATTCCCAAACCTCACTGAAGCATCGGCTCATTTCGTTTTATTTTTATCTGAAAAAAATACTAAATTATTATTTCGCCTTATCTTAAATTTTTTATCATTCTCACCAATTCCTTAATGCTCTGTGATGATCTGCCATTGGTCAGTTCAGATTTGTTGGAAGGCGAGGAGGTTCGTGATTGGCTGATGACATTGCAATACGCAGCCCGCTGAAATAGTAACAAATTTGTAAAAAAAATGTATATGTAAAAAATATGTAATAAACTAAATTTGTAAAAATTGTGTTTTATAGCACAGGAAGCACATAAAATAAATATGAGTGATTGATGTACAAAAGGTTTATAAATGCGATCAAATTAACATTTCACTTGCATGAATATATTTCAAATGGTGCCTATGTCGATAAATAATTGATATTCATTAATCATTATTTAACAAGTATATATATTTTGACAATATAGTCCTGAGTATTTCGCGTAGATATCTGTTACTTCCATCTAGAATAAGAACATTAAGCCAAATTCACGTAGCGTAAATTGAGTTTTCAATAGTTAAAAATAAATTTAAGAAATACTTTAACAAAATACTATAATAAAATAAATTAACTCTTGTCTCACCATCTGAGAGAAGTTGAGATGAAGGCCTTCATCTTGCACCACCGAGTCTGCCTTCTTGCACTCTGCACCAGCAGCACATGTCTCGTATGCTGTTTTCTGTCAACAATGTGAGACTAGTGAGACTAGTGACACCAGTGGTGAGACTAGTGGTGAGACTAGTGGTGAGACTAGTGGTGAGACTAGTGGTGAGACTAGTGGTGAGACTAGTGGTGAGACTAGTGGTGAGACTAGTTGTGAGACTAGTTGTGAGACTTGTGGTAAGACTAGTGGTGAGACTAGTGAGACTATTGAGACTATTGAGACTAGTGAAGCTAGTGAGACTAGTGAGACTAGTGAGGTTTTGCTCACACTGGGAAATGTGATACTTGGGCATCCGAAGCCTCAAATTATTTAATCACGTATGAAAAAGTCGATATATTAAATTGTAATAAATGAATGCCACTACCGCTAGTAACCTTCCACCATTTACTTTTCATGGAGATGTTATAAATTAAGTTCAATCCTAATGTTCATGCCATAAAATTGTTTTAACTCAAAAAATAAAATATATACAACAGCAAGTTATTTCAATCATCAACGCGAACAATGTGATAAAAAAAATTTCGATGAATTTCAACGAGAGTGAATAATGCATCTTAATGAGGAATGAATAAGTCTGAATTGAACAAGGGAACTCACGAATGATTTGAGGGACAACCCTGCCGGGATGTCAGAGGGCTGTGAGGGGTCCGGGGTCTTGGGGCTGCTGTTTCTGTACGCCTCCACCTGTGGCAACCACGAAAATTAATTTTTTATTTATATTCATATTCATATTCATATTCATATTCATATTCATATTCATATTCATATTCATTTTAATCATGAAAATTACCTTTTTATTCATATATTTATTATATATTCTACAGGTTTGATTGAAGACCAGAGCGTACTTTTTATTACGATTTGTGTGTGGGTTATCATCAAATTATATAATGAAATCAACCTTGTATAAATGAAGAACTTCTGCCTAACTACACCAATATGTATATTAGTGTAGTGTATATTACATTCACGCTGTATATATTTACATATATACAGCGTATTTACATTTACACGTTATATGTATATATTTACATTCACGCTGAGAGCCATTGCATTCATGAGAGAAGTAGACATAGAAGACGTGTCAGCGTTTAATTTTTTTTTTCATCTCGAGATAATGGTTCGATTGTCGAAATTTAAATTATATTTCGTTGAAACTTCAAATTTAATTTTTGCCTCATAAATACTTTGAAATAGGTTAATGGAATGTTGTCGTGTAGGGATTTGAATCGTAGGAATAATTCGGTTTCACCTAGACTGCTATGCACAATTATAGGAAAGATGTTGATTTTTGCATTTGCAATAAAAAATTCTCGTAAGAATTTAGGCCAAAATTTGTCGATTATATATACTTATGCTGAAGTTGCTATTTTTGAAATGTTACAATAAGGAAAATTTAGAAATAAATTTATGTTCGTCCCTCCGCCTAGGTGATTTGTGAAATTTTAAAATTTTAATCAAGCTAAGATCTTAAATGCCTCAAATTTTAATCAATTCAATACTTTATATGCATTAAATTTTAACCAAATTAAGATTTTATATGCATTAAATTTTAGTCAAGTTCAGATTTTATATTCATTAAGTTTCAACCAAGTTAAGATTATATTTGCAATAAATTTTAATCAAGTTAAGATTTGCAATAAATTTATTAATTCAATTAATATCAATTATATTAAATAATTTTAATTAATTAATACATTAAACTTCTCACCAGATGTGAGATGTTCGGCAGGTTGGCTGGTAAGTCCTCCACAACAGAACTGTTCACTGAGCAGTCGCTCCCAGTAGACAAAAACGACGTGGCCTGGTAAACAATTTATTTTAAATAATTTTAGATAATTTTATAACAAATAATTTTGAATAGTTTTTTCCTTGTGTTTACAGAAAATTTTGTGCACTATTGCCACAGAATACAGTACGCGGCAAAACTCGAATAAATGCTGGTCAAAAATGTTCACTTTCTTCTATTTAGTTTGATGGATAATTTTAGCAATAATATATTGACACTTGTCAAAAATGTGAATATGAGTACAATATGTTTTAAAGCAAAATAGGCGGAATGAGGGATAGAATATTGAAGAAAGGACTAATTTAAGCTAGGATGTTTGGAAGTTTTTAATGAGCCAACTCGAGATTAATTTATTTAAAAAAATCAAAATCTATTTATGCATCGCCATTTTGTTTTATTATGTCTAAAATAGGAATTGGTTTATAAATATAGCATAAAAAAATCACAGAAGTCTCTCTTAATAATATCACGACTGTAAATCATTGTGTATATAATAAAACGGTGAACTAGTCGTACATAATTGGTTAAACTTAGCCTTATTCGCCTTACAAAAAATAAGCTAACGACGCATTTTATTCATTAAAAAATATCTTTATCATGCAAAATTAGGCGTGTGATCGAAAATATTACCTTAAACTCACCTTACGCTTCAAAAGTACAAACTTAATTATCCTCAGCTGCAGTGTGACAAATAAAATAGTTCAGTAAATTATAAAGTATCATCAATAATAATTAAAACATTATTTATACATCAATGATATAAATAAATGTGCATATACATATATAAACTTATATATAAATTAACACCATAAAGGATAGAAGATAATTGTGGTTAATCAGAGTTTTTAAAACCTTTGGTTGCTCTTTTAGTTGATTTGCTTGAACAAAAAAATTTCGCATGTCGAATGATTAAAGTCAAAATTTTTTGTCAATATATTTTGTAGTTATGAAATGAATAGTGAATTTATTTCCATCATTCATATAATAAACAATCTTGAGACCGAAAATATTATGGACACTTACCAACGTTAATAAAGTCATTGATCAAATTTAAAATAAAAAATTTATTCATCCGGCGACTAATAATTTTAAGTTGGTCTTTCCGGCAAAATTATCATTAGTGAGGTAAAATTCATTCAAATTTTATGACAGTGAACTTGTATTTATGATAAATTTGTTAAAATTTGTAATAAATTTTTTTTCCCCTTTCAAATTTTATGACAGTGAACTTGTATTTTAGAAATTTTGCCTAAATTTTTTCATCGGACTCACCAGCTTCTTCACATCGATGTTGTAGAGCTCAGTCTCAGCCAAGAGCTGTGAGTTTGAATCCTTTTGCTCTTCAGTCGAAATTTCATCATCAATTTCCACATCAGAATTTTCGTCCATATATTGTGACAAGTCAGCATCCTGAGACGTGGAGTCAGTCTGATCGTCAGCCACGCTACTGATTTCAGCAGGTTCAGAAACTGACGAAAAATGACGCAATTGTTCCATTGAATCTTCAGTGAGTCTGGAATTATTTTTAACGGCATCAAAATTTTCTTGGAAATTGCCTGCTTTTCCTATGCGATTTTCTTCAGTAGAAGCGGAATGGACATTGGCATCCCGTTCGTCTTCGGCAACAAATGCGTCATTTTGAAAATCGAGAACGTCTCTAACTTCAATTCCTTCATCATCAACAAATTGTTTGCAACCATTTTCATTTCGATCGATTGAAGAGTTTGGCGGGTAAGCATTTTCCATGCTTGAAATTTCAGAAAGTTGTGCGCGTTCATCCCGCATTGAATTTTGGATGTTGGATGCAATTTCTATGTCGTTGGTTGAAGTCGAAATTTCATCAAAAGAATCTCCAGATGGAGGAGTGGACGAAAGCTCGTGAACACCCAAATCTTCCATCTGCAATTAAAGCAAGAATTTTTACTTAAATATTTATCCACGTAAGAAAAAAAATTCGCACACAAAACCTTTGTTTAGCAAATAATTCAACAAGCAGACTAATAATGATGAGAAAATTAGTTTCGAAGTGCATTAAGAAATTTAAAGGTATTGTGCAATAATTGAACACTATTCCGGGATAGCGAATAAGACGTTTTATTTAAACTCCAAACTCATATTAATGGCGCTCAGACCATAATATTTGATAAAATTCTATTCATTGTCAAAAATATTTCAAGGTAATTCTATCCGGCAACAAAACTTTTACACATGCAAAAAAAATTAAATTAGGTCAACAAATTGTTGAAATGTTGCAGGTTACCTGTAATGTAACGTTGAACTCTTAAATCTACATGATATATAAACAAACAAAACTAGGTTAAAAAATTAAAGAACAAATAAATGAGAGACACATAGTTAAGAACAAACATAATAAGGAACAAACGGACGAAGTATGGGTTGAAAACCAACACGAAAGCAGGATGAGAAAACCTGAAATTATTTTAAGTTAATAAAATCAGGAAACGGAATATTAATATTAAGTTTGTCATGTTGGTTCAATTAATTCATGACAATAAATTGTACTACGACATAAATTATTTAGGAGGAAACCCCAAGCTCCAGGGATGTCAAATGGAATTTGAAAAAAAATCTGCACGGCGATCTGAACACAGCAAAGCATAAATAAATATAAGCAACAACTTAAGGCTTGGTTAGTTTTGCAAATGTTATGAAAATGGAAGAAGTGAATGTCAAATGCATGAATTTTTCGCATTTAACAATTTCCATTTACCGTTTCATTTGAACCTCGACAAATTAAAAATTTGAAAAAAAATGTAGAAAATATTTACGAGAATCCTAGAATATGGATTTGAAGTTTTGGAGTCGGCGGAAATTAGAAAAAATATTAATTAACTTTGAATGGATCTCAAGGTAGCGTCCTTACCCCAAATGTCTCGAATGGCTGAATAAATCCACCGGACAATCGCCTCATCTCCAGCGTATCTCTGACAGTCTCCCAGAAGGACCGGCGAATCGGTACTTTAGGGTTATCATCAAATGAATTTTTAGCTCCATTATCATTAGATGAATCTTTTACTCCATTACTTGATTGCGGTGTTAAACTAGCGATACACTTCAGCACGAGACTTGGAGCTTTCAGAGCCGGTCTGAAGCTGAATGTATCGTTTTCTAATACATCCGAATTCGATTTGGATCTCGGAACTGTTTCGCGCCAACGATTTAGTCTAGGTTCCGAAAGCGGCATTTTTTTAACCTACATGGCAAAAATACAAAAAGTTAAAATGATGCGTAACGAAGATTTTCTCGATAGATTAAAACATTAAACGTGTTTTAAACAAAATATTCGTTAAACTGCAATGATTCATTACGAACCTAAACTCTTAAATAGTTCCACTGACATAAAATGACATTGCATTGTCAGTTATCTATCAATTTATAGATGTTCTTTCTTAAATTCCAGCTTTCGATTTGCTTTATAATGCAAAATTCACTGAAGATATTAGCAAAGAAGGTTTCATAGCTAAGAATTTATTTTAAATAGCAACCTGTTGTAGCCATTAGCTTGGACTAAAACGTTGGTGCTTCATCAGTCCAATAAAATTATAATTAGTTGGAAATATTGTTTGATAAATAAAGCAAATAAAAAAAAACGATTAAAATATGAAATAAATGAAGAAAATGTGTAACCAAGAAAATTTGTCAAACAAAGTGAAGTTAAGGATGGTTTGTGAAATTTATTCTAACGTTCACTTCAGGCAAATACAGACAGCACATGGAGTATGAATGACGACACAGTGACGTCACTGACGCGCACAATGAACGTTTCGACACCGTGGCGGTCATTTCTATATGCACCGATAATTTTCATTCTTAACAAATTTAGTGATAATAATCAGTTACACTCGTGTTCGTAGGATGGAGTTTAGCTCGTTTATTGGGGATATACTTGATGACGTAACGCTGGATTACTGGGTGGAGCTAGATCGTAATGGGTGCTTTTAACATAACGAGTGCTATAACCAAAGGGCATGAATAAGGGCCCTTAATATATTAAATACATTAGTGCCCTTTATTTTAATGCTCCTATAACGAGTGCTTGAATTAATGATTTTAAAATTCACGATTTTTAATTAAATATTTGTATGATGAACTTAAATTCTGAACCAAGTTGTCTTACCAACAAATAAATCCGAACTGCACTTTCCTTACAACAAACGCTAATTTCCAACAACACGCAATCTTACAGTGACATGCTTTAAAATAAATTGTCAATCGTAAACCAGAGCTCTTTCCAAATTTTTGTGTCTAACATGCAGATTTTCAGATTTTTTCGTTTTAACAGCAGTGACAGGCTTTCCCCGCAACAAAATTTTGTCAGCTCCATCCAAGCCAAAAAATTTGAGTTACGCACAACGATTTTTGCAAATGGATCCCACGTGCCGAAAATTGGTAGCAATATCAAATTAGGACATTCGTGAAAAATTAAATATTTTTGAGTCACTAAAAATTTCAGGAAACACAGGAAACCGATGCTAGTAGGAAGTTCACGCAACACACAACTGTTTGAAACACTCATTTAAATATTTAGTGAAGATGAGAATAATATTTATGAAAAGAGAATTCAATTTTACGTCGAGGTATTTTCGATAGCTACCCCTGTTAAGAATCAAAATGCAGCACCTATTCAACATAGGGTATAGTGGCCATTTGTGACGTTGTTTGCATTAGATGTCAATAATTCTTAAATAAATTGTATCACAACAACTGCCACAAGTCGTCCATAATACACAAGATTATTTTTTTAATTAAATCTGATACCAGCACCAAGAAACCGGATCGAATCGTGGGTTAATTTGTTGGTCAACACTTCGGGTTATTTACGCGGTGGACAACCAATTCAAAATGACAGTACGGACGTTATATTTTTTCTTCATGGTCAGACATAACCCGTGAAGAAAACGAAGGATGGAAAATTTTTCACATCGAAGTCAGTTTTCAGGACGATCATTAATTCAAAAATGAGCTCGAATACATTGCGAATTTTGAAAATTAATTGAGCTTCGAATACTTCAAAAGCATCTAGTGCACAAGATGCATAGAAAAACTTTTACTTTACATGATTATCACACGTTTTTTTGATCGAGGTATATTCCGATTGTAGCAGCGTAATTCATTAATTTGCGATCATATAGCTTGTGCAATTTAAAACTTTACAAACAAAAATAAAATGTGGAAGATAGCATCGCTGATTTCTATGTAAAACTCTACTTGAACAAAGTGGTAGCATATTTATCTGTTCATATTTAGTACAAGCGGTGGCAAGAAATTATCCTGCCTTTAATGGGTAGAATTTCTATTCCCTCGCTCCTTTTTTGTATTAATGGTGCATTTTTATTATTTAATATAAAAGGGAAAATTAATCTAATCAAAATAGAAAAATATAAGGCGAAAACTCAAATTTTCCATGTTTATTGTGTTATTTTATTATTAATGGATGATCGCACTTCACACGAACGAAAAAAGATGCAATCCAAATCTTACCTTTACATTACGATCAAAATTTTTCGTGTAGTCAAAAACAGTTTTGTCGTGGATTCCATTTTCCTTAGGATTTTTTAAACATCGTTTCAGTTTCCTTGGCGACCTCGTGGACCATTGCGCTTCGTTAGGCACTCCCGTACGAACTGGATTCAAAATCCTTGCATTCTTTTCACAAATAAGATCCTTTTGCTGCTCTTTCGACGATCCGAGGTGGCAAAATTTGTTATTGGGGAGAATAAAACATTTATTTTGATCGGAATCCTTATCACACTTCAGGTTTTTTACTTCCTTACGGTCTTCTTTTTCGTGTAAAATTCGATAATTATCGGAAAAATTATTCGAATCACCCTTAATAAACTTGTCTCTCAATACATCAAAACTGGGAGACGCTCGTAGCAAGTCAGAGATACTGTTAATTTTTGTGTGATTTATTTCGTGAGATTTCGAAATCGGCTCCAAATTTCTTTTCAATCGCATTTGTCGATTCCTGAAAGCTGACTTTAGTGAGTTAGATGGAAGCCGATCATGCAGCTTAACTTTCACGCATTGAAGTCCGTTTTTCAAAAACTGTGACGAAAATTCTTTTTCGTTGTTTATATCAGGTTTTTGTAATTTTACGTCCAATCTCGGTAAAAACTTAACACATTTGGGTTTAATTTGTTCATCATAGGAACATAATTCATTATTGGGTTTCAACAGAGCACCTCTAACTGGATTAGAACTTTCAAAATGTTCCGATTCACTGTGCACATTTGAAAAACACTTTGAATTAATTTCTGATTGCTTTTCTTGAATAGCTGGAAGTTTCACAAATTTACTTAGTTCATCACCCATTGCTGGAGAAAACTGCCAAAGCTTGTTAAATTTTTCATTGGCAACGCCTTCAGCAAATACAGAAGTAGTTTCTCGATTTGATGAATAAACACATTTATTTTGTTCGCTCTTGGCAACACTTAAGCCACAATTTTCATCCAAAAGTTCATCGATGGTTTTATTATGGAAATATTTCATCTTCTTTTTATGTGTTTTTAAGAAATCATCACAATTGTCATCGATAACTTGGCCACTTTTTCTTTCGCTTAAACGTGGCTCCGTTGCTGCAGTTATACTCATGTGTTTATCAGAGGTAGTGTCCGAATCGTCCATCTTTTTAATTTGTTCGTCAAAGAACCGTCTTTCATAACTTTCGTCTTTGCAGATAACATTTACAAGTTGATGTTTACGTTGATCAGGGCCCGATAGATACTTTTTGTTGTCAATTTCCGAGTTATTATTTCTAAAATCTTCATCTCGTCCCGAGCCATTTACGTGCTCATTTTTGCAAGGCAATGGGACATTAGATTCGGGCAAAATTTGCGTTTCATTAACGAAAATTTCATCAAATTTTGCATTATTGA